CAAAAGGCCATCTTTGAACAATCCACTCCCAACTTTTCCACTGTTGCTCTTTTGTCCAGCTAATATGCAGTGACATAAACCAGGTAAAACTATCCCATGACTTTTTTTTTTTTTTTTTTTTTTTTAAAGATCAGGGGAAAAAATAAATACTGACTTCCCTTTAGCTTTTATCCTTGATGTCATCAAAAGACTGAAAAGGATGTTTCAGGGCTGCCTTTAGCCTGATGGAACAGCAGGGAAGGTCTTTTCTATTAGATCCTTGGTACAATCACATCTGCTGAAATCACTGCGGTCACATCTGCTGAAGTCTTCCATCATTTCAAATTTGTTTCAAAAGACTCAATCTCTCTGTTTCTGAAGGGCACGACTGCATTTGCAGCCCCTCCCTGATGCCTGGAACAGCAACTTTGCATCAAGCSCAAGCATCTTGGATCCCACCCCCTGTGCTGTAGTCAGCCCTTGTCTCCCTGTGCGAGCTTGGTGGGGCAGCATCTTTGAGTTCTTTTAGTTTGTATTAGGGAATTCAAAACAAAAGGTTTGCACTCGTGTAGATTCAAGGGAAAAGAGATCGCAGCAGCTTGTCTTCTGGATGCTTCATTTTTTTTTTGATATATGCCCTGAAGGATGCTTTCTTTTTTTCTTTTTTCACCACTGCAGTGTCTTTTTGCACTTTAGATGGCTTTTGTGACCTTGGAAAGAAGACTGGGAAATTCTACAGCAACAGGGAGAGAAACAAGGGTGTGTGTTTGAAAGGGATCTTGCCTCTGGCAGTTGTATTGTTGGAGAAAGTGCAAAGAAAAAAAAAAATACAAACTCCAGCCTGGAGTGTATCAGGACTGAATCACTTCTTTCTGGTTAAAATTTCTCAGTCTTTTCTTGCATGTAAAGTGGATACCATTAAAATCAAACATCCTTCCCTTCTTCCTTCGCCCCAGCTARAACAGGAGATAAGAGCCCTGTTCTTTTTTACTGCCTGTGGCTCTGTCCAAGGCCAGTGGCAGAGGCCATGGAGTAGAAGGAGATACCCAGTCCTCGTTTGGAGAGTTGTTCCATTTGCTCTTCCTACCACCGTAGTCTGTGCCCCAACATCTCCGGATGCTGTRGGGAGTTTCAGGCCTGGAGTGGGCTGCAGCCTGGCAGAAGTGGGCAGAGAGCTGGCCTAGGCAAAGCTGAAGGGTAGGGAAAATGGAAGGAGCTTTTGCAGGTGGCAAGTGCCGTGTGGTCTCCTTGCCTGATGAGCCTAGTGTGGCTCCATCCTGCCCTCAAGGGTCTGACTTGCAGCAACGTGTGCTGGGGCTGCTCACATGTTAGGAGGTACAAGTGGGGGTGAATGAGGAGCTAACGGAGCTGCATTCTGCGAAACCAAGGCTGGTTACACTAGCCAAGGGTTTAGAGCTGTGCTGGCCTGTGTGCAGCTCAGTGGGCTTTGCTAGGGCAAAATCTGAAGAAGTCTTTGAGGGCATAAATCCTTATCTGCTGCCCCCCGCTCCCAACCCGTGTTGTGCCTGCCTGCCTCGCTCTGCTTGCTGCTGCTTCCTGCTCCGGCACCATCACTGCCTTTGCTGCAAAGGCCGTTTATTCCCAGCTAACATTAGCTAGGATCCTTCTCAACCCTTTGGTGTTTCTTTCCATGCTTCCACAGGTGAATTATGAGATTTTTCTATAACTTGTGATAGCGAAGGAAGTATTGGGACATCTGTTGCATGCAGAGCCCATGGAATAGGGTTTGAGGAAGACGTATCCTCGTGTGCTTGTTGGTTTGGGGTCTCCCCTTCTTTCCTTTCCAATTGCCTGCTTAGGAAAGCTCAGCCCTAACACAGCACACATCAATGTGGCAAGGCAAGCGTGCAGGTATAAACGTCTGAAATGTTGCGATGGTTTATGAGGGAAGACATGAAATGAGAGCGTCTTCCCTTCTAAACCAGCGCGGGAGCCCTAGGAGATACTGCAACAAGTACTTAGCTTGTCCCTGCCATAGGAGATGTGCAGTTTGGGTCAAGAAAGAGGAATTCGGAAGGAAATGTGGGAGCCAGTTTCTCCCGTTCTTTTCTCTTTATACCAACTACAAGGAGCTGACTTGGGCAAGTGACAAATGTTCTAATTCCTCTTCTGTAGCTTGCAAAGTGTGATTAAAGCAGGTGATCTAGCACGGCCTCCAGGGAAATCAATGTGCTTTTTGTGTCTCTGGCCCAGTGAATGGCCTGATGCCCTTTTTTTAGCACAGCGAGCTAAGCTTGGAGGTGCCTGCGCCGAAATGCTGCATGTTCCGAAAATGAATATTCCTTGGGGTGATGAGGGGGGGGACCTGTGACACTGACTGGTGCTGGGTGATAGGATTAGCAAATTAAAGCTGGTTTTCATCAGAACGGTGTGGGTTGACAGRGCTCAGCAGTGGATTACTGTCACAGCTGCTCCGAGCTGCACACCAGGAATATGGGGCGGCCAAACAAGCCAAGCGGTTGAAACTCTGCTAATTTTCTGTTTTTTTTTTTTTTTCACTCTTTTTTGGCTTGCAGCAGGACCAAGCCAGGGGATAGGCGTGTAGGAGTTGCAGAAATTCACGTGAGTGGATGTTCCCTGGCACGAGTAATTTGTTGGAAGGGGGCAGACTCGTGTTTGCTTTTTGTCAAACTCACATTGCCTAGGCCAGAAATAGCATCTTTTTTTCCTCTTCAAACCCATTTTTCCGTATCCTTCTGGCTGAAGGGAAGGGTGCACAAGTGACAGGTCTATAACAATACAGYAAATCCAGGCAGAAATAGAATAAGCAGTTGTTTCTGGTTCTGGTTTCTATGTTTGCAGAGGCTGGGGCTTAACCACTGTGGATTGCTCAGGATAGAGCCGTGTCTGCACTAACCTGTTGTGCCTTGGGACCTAGGGCTTGGGTTGTTCCAGGGTAATACCGTAAAACTTTTATGGCCAAGTCATGATGAAGAGCCTGAGAAGAGAAAGAGCTTAACCCTCCCATATTGAAGTTAGCTTTGCAATATTTCTTCTCATGTTTCCACACGCAACAGACCTCGCAGCTGAAAGTGGAGCACTGCGTGCAGAGAAATGTGGGATTCATGGAGCTGGGGAAGAGAAGGCRAGGGGAAATCTGTCTCTGTGAGGGCTGCTATTTCTCTGATGCACTAGAATTCTAGTCCTGTCCCAGTAGGCCCTTACAAACATCACTAGCATTATTTGTTGGCCCTGGCACACTGCATTGTGCCTATCCTTTGCAGAATTGAGCTCTTAATCTGTGTTGATTATATTTTAATTGGATAAATAAATCTTTTAGAGATCCCCAAATCAATAGAGATATTTCTATGCCTTTTTAATTTTTTTTTTAATTTTATTTTTCTAGATTTCCTAAGGACATTAAACTTTTACAGCCTTACAACTTGTTCTGCAGTGTTTGCGAGCCAGTTAATGCACTCTGTTCTGGGGAATGAGAACCTGGGAATAATGTGGTGTGGAAATGCAAAGAAACTGAAATGAATTTGACCACCCTTCTTATATAGCACTGTCCTCTCTGTCCAAGGTCAGCACAGCCCCATGCCCTGGGTACCAAAATTCTATTTTTTTTTTCCTAGTTTTATTCCTGGCTCTGCCAGTGGCTTTTTGCACAGTTTATCTCACGCRTTGAGGACTTGCATGGCTTCCACATCTCTCTGGCCTTCCAGGCTGGCGTTTGACTACTTGGCTTAAACATTTATAGGAGTGGAGAAATCTGTTTTATAATGGGGAAGTGCCTTCATTGTGCTAATTGTAGGCTCGTAATTGGAGAATAGGGAGGCGGTGAGAGAAGAAAAAAAAATGGAAATTGTCAGATGAAAAAAGTAACAACATCTGTCTGGGAATAATGATCAATGCTGGTGTTTGTGAAAGATTTTTTTTTCTGAAAAAATTACTTGGATGGAAAGTTTTTAGATTGGCTCTACAATAAAAATGGGCAAAAAAAGTTGGAATTGTAACTAGTTTCTAACCTGACTCTCAGCCTTATAAGTGACGTGTTCTTGCATAAAGCATAGCGGAGATCCCATTTCTGTGTTAGTCAATACTAAATCATATTGGATTACAATAAATTTGTAATCATTAGGAACTAATGAATGCCTTAGCACGTATGAGCCTGGCAGCTTTGCGCAGGCTGACTCTCTTTGACCAGCTTGCCATTTCTGTGTTGGATTGATGACTGGGGAGTTTGTAAAACAGGTAATGATCTAGCACTGCTGAAATGAAACTTAAATAAAAACTCTCTGGAGCAGTCAGTGAGCCAAAGGAGAAAGCCAATTTTTGTCTTGGGTAATGGAAGCAGCTTGGTGAGAGTGAAGGCAAACAGAGCTGGGTTGTGTGTGGGAAGTGCTGGTGTAGCCTGATGAGGCGTTACAGGTGAAATTAGGTGAGTTGTTAGGCAGTTCTTTGGTATTCACTTTTATTCATGTGACAGTGGAGCTGAAAGCGAGCTCTGCTGAGCTGAGCTCTGCAGGTGCAGGCACATGGAGAGACTCTGTCTGGGAATCTGCAGATAAGACCGACGTGGAAGGACACAGGACAAATGCTAACTAGGGCTCCAGTTCAGAAAAGGTTTAAATGTGGATTGGAGCAAGCTGGGTGGCACCTAGGTCATACCTGTTGTGGGCCAAATCAGGGCCCAGATCAGACTTCCTAGCTAATTATGTGTTAAAATACAGTTTTTCCAGCTGTGGAGACAGTGATTATCCTGCCTCTCACCTCTGCAGCAGATTGCACAAGTTTTCTAATTCTCAAAGTGAACTGAACACAATGGCACCATTGTGGGAAATGCTTAAAAATTCTCCAAAGCAGCCTAAACCCACGTGTGATGGAGGCCTTCTGCTCATGCCTGGTTATGGAGAGAGCTACAACATTTCAACGTTGGTCCTTGAAGACGAGAGAGATCACTGGGCCATGAGAGCAGCTTCGCTTGAAGACAGTTGGAAACTATGTGCCAGACCATGTMATTGGAATAACTACAACTCTTTCTCTTTTCTTCCTTTCAGGTGAATCCTGGTGGCAAGACCCTCGAGGAGAGACGGTCCAGTTTAGATGCAGAGATCGACTCTCTGACCAGCATCCTGGCGGACTTGGAGAGCAGCTCTCCTTACAAGCCTCGGACTCAGGTTGGTGGCTGATTGCATCAACTGAGAGCAGGAAACGGGCCAAAATGGGCTGCTGGAGTCAATTTGTGAACCATTTGGTATGTGTTGAGAGCAGGCGTGCCAGTTTGTCCTGATGGCATCCAGATGTGGCTGTCAATGGGAAGGAGGGAGCAGCCGCTCCGGAGGGGGCCCCGCTTCAAACGCGGCGGCACCTCTGAGCCAAGGGCCGCGGGTGGCGATTGCTGGATTGCTCTGGTGGAGATGGTTAGAGAAAGATAACTCRCCCCTCCCCCAAAAAACAGGAAAGACATTTCTTTCTCCCCAGATTTCATCAACAGTAGCTCGCGAATTAAAACCTGCTCACTTTGCAAGTGCTTTTACTCATTTTCTTTGCTAAATTTTATCTGTCGCGCTGCCAGAGCAATCCAGATATCTGCATCTCAAGTTGTTTTCTTTTGTTTTTGTTGTCTAATCAGTGGCGATGAAGTGGCTTGGATCACAGCTCGGCTGTCAGGGTGGTTGGTAACCCAGCAAAGCAGATTGGAATTCCCACTTATTCTTCTGTGTCTAGACAGGGACTGCAGGGGTGACAGGAGCTCAGCTAATTTTTGTCACTAATGTAGGTAATACTTGAGTAGAGCTATTTAAATTCTGGTAAAGTGTCATCTAGTTACAGTATGAAACAGTGACACCTCCGTGGCACTTTAAAAAGGGTGATTCATGAGATCTTTACATTCATCCCAAATGTGCTTGTGACAAGTTGTGCAGCTGCTTCTCTTTCTCAAGACGGGTCTCATTTGTTATACGTATACATTTGTAGGAATGCATGCAGATCTATGCATATGTTGTCTTTGATTAATATCAGCTCTGATTAAAGGTTAAAAAAGAGGAGAAAAAACACGTAGGGTGATACTGTGTGCTCCCATATAGGCCGTGTCTTTAGTTTTGGCCTTTTTGTTCCTTTCGCTGTTACATTTGTTTTGGATGGTTAAACATCTGCCTTCTAGAGCAGAATTGAAATAGCTGTCAGAGATCATGTACTTTGCTCCTGTTTAACTGTGTGATTTAGCATATTGTTTTTATTATTGACTAGCAAAATTATTGTTGATTTAGCAAAAGGGGAGCTCAGTCAGATCTGTCAACCTTTTGGAAACTCTAGCCCAGGCTCTAGCATCTTGACCTGTGTGAATGCCTTGCTTTCTGCAGAAACCTAAAKAGACCTTTTGCTCATTCTAGCTGCATGTGCACAATTCTTGCATAAACTTACAGACCTTGTAAACAGTCTGATTTGGGTCAATCAGAAACACAGCAGCAACGTAAACTAGATGTGGTTTGGTCCTCTTCCCAATGGATTTTGTTGTTGTTGTCGAAATAAATGGGACAGGTTTTTAGCAGTGATTGTGCTCAAGTGCTGTATCAATCTGCATTCGTTTTGTTTGTGCAGGGCAAGCACAGAAGTGTACRCTGCTATCGAGAAAGGCCCTGTAGGATCAAAACCCTAGGAGAGAGTTACCTGGAAGTGTTTTGTCCTCCCCATTTTCCTTTGTTGTGCCTGCAMAGTCGGCTGCCGTGTCTGAGAGACGTGTAACTTGTGACACCGCTTCGCAGCTTTCGTGATTGCTTGGCAGTACTGCTGGCTTTCTCCTCATACTTGGTTGAGATCTGAGATTGGGCGAATACAATGTTTTTATACCTGTGATATATCTATAAAAGATCACAGAATTCAATTGCAAAGATCTGTAGGTTTGKTTGTTTTACTGTAGAATTAGAAATAATGTTTTTGGGTGGTTTTTCTTGCTTGCAGTTCTAAGGTGTGTGTGTGTGTAGGGGGACTACAAAGATTTGTCCCCCTGAGCCCAGGAATGTCCAGGTGAGATTCCCTAGTGTGTTTGTTACAGTAGCTACATTTGACACTAGGCCAAAAAAAAAAAACACCCAAAATTTCAAATCTGGGACCAAATGCCACCTCTCTTCATTCAACTTGTCAGACTTTTCAGTGTTTATTGGTTAACATATGTATTTCCTATGAAAAGTACAATTACAGCAACTATCAACGATAGCCTTTAGGAAAAGCAAATGCCAGAGTTGAACGTGTCATCTGCTGTAATTAAAAAGTACTCAAACAAGTCCTTGAATGGTGGAACTAGAATGCAAAGCTTTGATATTTTTCTTTGTTTGATCTGTACTAAGTATTGAACCTGATGAGTCATTTGATGATCCTATAGCAGGATAATAGATTAAGCTGCAAAGTGTGAGGTACTTGCTCAGAACATCAGCACATTTATTGGATTACACCTTAGCTGACCTTCCCAAATTTGTCAGGATAATGACTGCAGATGGAAGTGTAGAGATCCAGAGAAGACTTTCCTGGTTGTGCCTGTGGAATTAAAGCATTATAATAATTTTATTGGCATACCTTGCTCTTGAGGATACTCTCATTCTGGAATAAGAGAGATTGTATTGATCTGTTTCTCTTTTTTTTTTTTTTTTAATTTATCTTAAAATAGTTTAAAAGCAGCATAAACTAAACTGTAAAATAGTCCTCGTGTGGTGGAGTCTGTGCTGCCCTGTGATAACAACAAATAGTTTTATTTAACGTGCCCTCCATGGCTCGGCATTCGTTCACCCGCAGAGCTGCACTGTCAGTGTTCTGCATGAGTTTGGGATCCCTGAAGCAGAGGGACTGTTTCCTGGATGGTAATTTTGGAAAGTCCATAATGCTTTTTGGAATGAGGAATGTTAACCTTGGATATCCCCCTATGACCAGAAAACTTCTTGCTAAAAACACTGGAGAATGATGATTCCTAGACCAGCGGGGCGCTTACGTGGGCCTTGCTCAGTGTTTTACCACTAGAGCAGATATGAGCTGGAATATAAATTTGAGATTCCTCAACTTAATGTTTTTTGTTGATATGGTGGTTTTGGTTTTCCTTTTTTTTAAGTGTGCTGCTAAAGAGATATGTGCAGCAAGACCCCAGACAAAATGTCAAATTTTGGTCCTTGAAATTTCAAATATATTCAGAAAGCAAATGTTAATATTAAAAAATAATAGTAATAAAAAAAAAGGCAGGAAAACTTTGTAGAAGAACTTCCAGCAGAGGCTGTGCAAATGAAATACTAGAAATAGCAGCATATGAAAGCTCAGGGTTTTTTGCCCCTGCTGTGTATTATGTATTGAATGCTGATTGCTTTGTTTGGTATCAGACACCTTCTGAAATTCCAACTTTTAGCCTGAATTTCCTGTAGAGTGCCTGTTTGGCAAAACAGGGCTTGGTGGGTTGCGTACAAGGTATAAGAGGTACCTGGTTTAAAGGTAATTAGCCTTTTTTAAGGATTAGTAATGGGTGGTCAACATTTACGGAATATTCACGCCATTTAGCTCTGCCAGGAGCGCCCAGCTCCGAGTCCAGACGTTCATCTTTGCTCACGTGGAGCGGTGTCGTCTGCCGTGACTGAGACTAGTCAGCAAAGAGAAGAGAGTTCCCAGAAGAGGAAAAGAAAAAGCTCCTTGTGGCTATTGGTTTGCCCAGGGGGGCTGACATATGGGCTGCGTAAAACCAGGCACTAAAGTTCTCTTCAAACTAGCGCATGCAAATTTGCTARGCTTGGCTCAGAGTCGGGTTTCCTTGTTCCTGCTGTTGGCTGAGCCCAGCCTATGGGCTTGGTGGGCACTGGCACGGCCGGGCGAGAGCAGTTGCAGCACGTTTGCTGCCGTTTCACTTGTTGTCAGGAACGTTTGTCTTTCGAGTTCAGTCAAGTGAGAGAAGAGAAGAAAATTCAGGGCTACAAGCAGCTTAAGGTTAATTTGGCAGGTTCAGAATTAATGTGCCTCTCGTGTAACGTTTGTGTGACACAGTTTGCAGTTCCTGATGGCGGGAGCTCAGTGGGATTTGGCTTTTTCGGGTGTTCAGAATATTGTTGAATCTTCAGTGCAATTTGGGCTGAAATTGGCTAAGCCGCTGCTGTTGTCAGATTTGATGCTCAAGGTAAACGTAAATGCCCAGATCTCTCTGCTATGCTGAACATGTCTAATCTGGGCATCTGTGCAGCTGTGTCAAAAGGATTTTAATTCGAGCCACACAGAGCAGCGGGGAGAACACAGCAGTGCTCTCCTCCTAACAGCCTGCACGCTGTAGCTTTCCATCGGAGGCAGGGGTGTTTCACCACGTGTGGCTGTTGCAGAGCTGTCCTGGCTGTGGAGCAGCAAAGGGAGAATGAAGCTCCTTGCAGCGACACRAAGCCGAGAAGCCTCCCTGGTGCCCGGGGCTGCTCCGAAAGGCCACGGACACCCCGCGTCTCCCTGCCTTTATAGAAGGACCATCCAGCTTCCACCGTGTCCTCGCAGGCTGGGGGTGAAGCACAGATAGAGGCTGGGCAAGCACCATGTGGGCGAGCTCCAGCGCTTGCAGCAGGGCCGCAGGGAGCCCATGCGAGCGGGAAACCCTCCCTGCCGGTCCCATCTCGAGGGCCATGGACCCTGTGGTCCATAGGGACCCTCYGAGGTGGCCCTGGAGGGAACGGCAGGGTTGGCGCTCTGGAGGAGCGAGGCCGTGGGCACAGGCGGATCCCCGCGTTYGCATTAGCCCCTCTGTGCGTGGCGGGGTGCCCCCGGCAGCAGCCGGCACGTGCAGCTTGCTCAGGCGGCGCTGATTAGCAGATGCTTGCATCGCTTGCATCTGTTGGCATATATTAAACATTAATCCTGCCGATAAGAGCATGTCTGTTAAGAGTTTTYTGAAAAGTTTGCCGAGATCCCAGATTACCAGCTTGTCACAGATGAGCAGGATAAGAGTGACCTTTGCAGGGTATTATTTTTTTTTTCCTCTGATGTACTAGCATCAGAGTGAAAATAAAGCGCCCTAGTTGTGCTGTTTCTTTCCTCTGATTTGTAATCAGATTTGCAGAAATCTTGGTGGAGTTTGCGTTCCCTTTTCCTTTTTTTCCATCGTTTGGGTTTTCTGCCTACGTGCTTGGCTACAGCTTTAGATGACAACTACTGTTGAATATATTGGACTCTAAAT